TCTCCAGAGCACTGCACCCTGGAAGCCGTGGTGCCATGGCACACACAGGGACTTTAGAACTCATAGAGTTATGCACTCGACTGATTCCCTTCACAGTTTTAGCTCCTGGTGACACTTTCAGCATCTGAAATTGCGATGCAGAATACTAGACACCATCATGGTCTAAAATGGTCCAGTCCGTGATGTCAGAGTCCCCCGAGCAAGTGGTCCAGACTCAGATTGTTCTAGACCACCGCCACCTGCACTTCTTTCTTTTCAATGCCAGGGAACCACGTCCTACCCAGTAGTCATGAAACAGGAGAGCCAGAAGGGATCTTGGAGGTCACCGAGTGCCAACTCCTTCCTGGGGGAATGAGGCCCAGGAATATGATACACTATTCTTGAGTATGTTGTCAGCAAAGAGGGGACCCTCCTGAGAAACTCCACTAGGCCTTTCCCATTAAATATGTTAATTTTAATAAAATCATTGCCCGAGCAAAGAGAATGAACTCTGCAGAGTACAGAGTTTGTGCATTTTCCGTGCATCTGGGCAGCGGGCATGGTGTGAGTGGCTAGAAGGTCAAGAGGGTGCAGGGTCAGGGAGGAGAGTGCAGGTCTGGGAGTGGGCGAGGTGGATGGGATGCAGAGGCCAGGGTCCCTCCACACAGTGATTGCGCTGGGAAACTCCCAGCCCATTTCCACTGCTGTAATACCTCAGCTGAGTAATTTATAAACAATAGAAACTTATTTCTCACAGTCCTGGAAGCCGGGAAGTCCAGGATCAAGGTACCAAAAGATTTGGTGTCTGGCGAGGGCTGCTCTCTGCTTCCAGGATAGCGCCGCTTACTAAGTCCTTGCATGACGGAAGGGGCAAAGAAGGGACAAGCGCTGTGTCCTCATGTGCAAGGAGATGGAAGGGCCAGAAAGTTCTCTGAGGCCTCATTTATGAGAGCATTAGTCCCATTCATAAAGGTGGAGCCCTTGTGGCCTACTCACCTCCCAAAGGCCCTACTTCTTAATACCATCACCTTGGGGTTTAAGTTCCAACATGAATTTTGGTGGGAACATGCATTCAAACTATAGCAGGGACCAAGGGGGAGCATTTGAGAAAAATTTGACTTTGGATTTGGAGTAGGCTTACCCTGGGCTGAGGGCCAGACAGAGTCGACCCCGGATCAATTTGCAGTGAATGCTAAACTCATCCTTCAAACAGGAGCCTGCCCTCTCCTCCTGGGTTGGAGGGAAACCTGTCAACTTTTCTGTCCTTGTTCGTAGGTTAACCAGAAGGCTTAGTGAGGAAGGCAGAGAAATAAGGTATAACCAGGTTTCTGGAAAACTTGTGGTGCCTTTTGGTACTGGCTATAGTTTCCATGTGGCTATGAGAAAATAAGAGTGAGAGAGGCTGACAAAAATCTCATGGACAGGTAGGCATTACTGTCTATTTCGGAGAATGAATTAATTTTCTCTTGAGAAACACTTTTGTTATAAAAGTCATTGTTTTCCAACTTGTCTAAAAGCAAAGCTATTTATTTCTAAGAACTACTGGTCATTGTGTGAGATGAAGAACCAAAATGCATTTGAGTAAGATGTTATTTTTCTTTTTAAATTCTATTTTATTTTTTAAAGTGTGGTTGTAAAATAGCCCACCACTTCTGGGTCATTGACGCGACAGAAACAAACCACCTTTTTGGGGCTGTTGAAAACCAAAAACTTGAGCTCACTATCTCATTCTAGCTCAACAACGCACTGTTGTCGCCACTGCACCGAGTCGTGGCATTGCCTTACTATTACCTATATTAATAATGACAACGATGTACTGTAAATTTCGAATCACTTTCACGTCATCTCTTTTCATTTTTGAAACAACTCGTGAGTTCTTCAAAGTCCATATTTGTATATTTTTGTGCAGGTTGATGTTTCCTAAACATCATTCCTTTGCACGCTATTTTCATGATATTTTATATATCCAGCACCCTCTGTCCTTAGACTTTTTATTTACTTTTATAAAAAGCTTAGATGGCCATCTCGAGGAAGATAATTTTATGCAAAAAAACGAGAGCCCAGTCACTTGCTGTAAACATAAGGAAACAGAAAACATAAATATAAAATGACTAAGTTTTTTAGAGAGTTTGCCTGCATACCACTGAAAATGTCGCTTGTCCCTGGTGGCACAGGTTCCACACCCTGGGAACTCTTGGGCTGATGAATGTATGAACGAACCCTCGTTCTTGCCTGTCCCATTGGTCTAGGCCTGGTGTCAGGCACTGGCTAGACCCTGGAGATACAGGATTAAAAGGCACAGTCTCTCCAAGATCCGTCTAAAGCAGAATGGAAAGGAGCGTTGCAGGACCCTTTGGTCTGTTTTTGGAAAGCGGAAGCTGGAAGGGAAAGTTGATCTCCTTCGGGTGGCTTGGCGGTGGGGGAGGGACAGCTGCCGTCCCAGTGGCATCCATGGCTCCTCACCCATCGAGTCAGGGCTGGCTCCTGACTCACCTGCCACACTTTGTCTCAGTAATAGACTCAAGGTATACATTGGCCTCTTTAAATGTCATCACCTCCAGAGCCTCAGAAGAGTCTAAAATTGTTCTTTCCGATCAGTGGCCGTCTGGAAAGGTTTATGACTTCCTGGGCTTGAGTTCTTGAGCACTGCTTTCCTCTCCTTCAGGTGAACTTTCAGCTTGAGAGCACTTCATAATTGAGTCGTCTTGTACTTCTGATGCAGATGGCTCTCCAGCTCATCCTTGCTGTCCTTGACAGCAAACACAGGCGAGAGCGTGGGCTTCAGATTGACAATTTGAATCTAGGCTCTGCCACTTACCACCCAGGCAGTGCCAGGTCCCCTGCTAGGGACGGGCAAACAGAAGTGGACGTGGTTTCTCCCTCTCTGTTTAGTGGAAAAGACAGGGAAATAAACAAATATGGTAATTCAGCATAATAAGTGCTAAGATATGAATAAGCACAGACAGCTATGAGGAAACAGAAAAGGGCATCAAACCAGGCCAGGAATGCCAGGGAAAGCTTCCCGGAGGAGGTGACACTTGAGTTAGACCTGGAAGGATGAGTAAGAGCTTCCTAGGCAATGGAGGCGGGGGGCAAGTCATCCTGGAACTGGGAGCAGCGTGGGGTGAGATGGAGCCTAAGGTTTCTCACCTGCAAAAGGCTGAAATGACCCTCATAGGCTCATTGTCAGGATGAAGAGCTGATGTATGGAAATTGCCTGATGCTACTGAGGACAAAAAATAAACGTCTGACTTGTTCATTTTAACCCCTTTGCCACTCCGCTGTGGGCCCACCGCATGTGGGTCCTCCTCAGTTGTGGTGCTCAGGACGTGGGGTCTTGGGATTTATCTGTTTATTAGGCAGTTGTCCCTGACAGACTGAAACTCTATAGGTAGAGTGACAAGAAGGTCCCAGCTTCCTTGGATATGGGAGTGGCTTCTTGCCACAAGTAGCCCTTAACTAAGCTAGCAAAAGCTCCAAGAGAAACCCCACGGTGACATTTTCCCAGTGGGATGTTCATGTTTAAGGAATAGTTTCCAGTTATGTTTCTGACAGTCCCTGTTCTCCTCCAGAATTTGAAGGAAGCAAGTTCCTCCGTGCATCCTACTCTGAATGCTACACTTAACACCCACTGGTGTCTCCCAAAGGCTTAGGACAGTGCCCTGCATGTAGTAGGCACTCAAGAAATATTTGTTGCATGAACAGTGAGCCTAAAAAGTCAGGCACATGACTTAACTCCACTTGGTATCATATCTGCCTGGCCCGGTGTCTGACTCCCAGTAGGCATTTGAGAATCGGGTAGCTTCTGCAGCAGGCCGTGCTTACTGACCACTTAATCCTCTCACTCTCTACCCACGTGGACAACGTGGATGCCATGGCTGAGCCGAGTGCAGCTATCATGCACATGGTTTCTTTGCATCTGTCCGTGCAAGCCGGCTGTGCAGGGATCCAGCGCGGTGATCCAGGCCGGGCTGCCCTACCGTGTTTTCTAGTCTCTGCTTTGCTGCCGCAGATCGTGGAGTTATAGCTCCTCTCTTTTGGAGACAATGTTCCATGCTGGGCTCCCAGGACGACAGGAGGGTACCCTCCTTCTGTTTCAACTTGACTTTGCTACTGGCTGCAGGGGAATGTGGGCTCGATTTATCTGAGGAAAGCGGTACCAGATGACCACCTGGCCCGTGTTGCTGTTGTGTGCATCCACCCAGAACCTGTTCCACAGACACCTGTGGCTGCAACATTTTATCCTCAGAGGCAGAAACAGTCTCTGGCAGGCCTGTCTGCACTTGCCTTCCGGCACTTCAAGCCATGCCCGGCCATTCCAAGCCTTTCCCTGAGTACTAAGTATCCCTGTGCTGTAGAAATGGGCAGGAAAAGAACCTCGTGGGCATAAAGTTTTAACAGATATAGGAATCCAGGTGTGTGACAACAGCCACTGCCTTCCCCATTGACATCATCATGGGATGGGACCCTCGACAGCAGGAACCGTGTTGTCCTTAGCTCCGAATCCCCATCACCCGGCACCTTAATAAATGTTCATTGCACATGAGTGAATGAATTTCAGCCCTGCTCCAGTTCTCAGAGCAATATGACTTAGAGGCAGGGAATTCTGGGGCAGCCTGGGCACCCCCTCACCCCACCCCCCATGCCGGGGTTTGGTGTTGACTCGCCTTCCTTGTCTGGCTGGCCCAGGCCACGGTTCCCCAGGCCTGGGGATTTGTGGTCTGTGCCCCTTGTTGCACTTGCTGTGGATACAACTCAGCCCAGAGTGGCTTCTAGGCAAGGTCCCAGAAAACTAAAACATCAGTGGGGATTTCTGTCCTAGAGCAGGTCCTCTCCTCTCAGTGCCCCTTTCGTGTCTTGATACTACAGCTTGGTGTACATGTGAGCACCCAGGGTTCATGGGTGTGCAGGCATAGCTAAAAAGAGCATGCAGGAAACAAAAGCAGGGGCAGGGCTGGGCCTCTGTCCCCACAGGTCCCCTTTTTGTGCTTCCCCAACCTCCTATACTCTTCTCCTTACAGGCTCCCCCGGCCACGCTGGCTCCACGTCCATGAGCCCATCGGCAGCCTTGTCCACAGGGAAGCCCATGGACAGCCACCCCAGCTACACGGACACCCCAGTGAGTGCCCCACGGACTCTGAGTGCAGTGGGGACGCCCCTCAATGCCCTGGGGTCTCCATATCGAGTCATCACCTCTGCCATGGGCCCACCCTCAGGAGCGCTGGCAGCCCCGCCAGGAATTAACTTGGTTGCCCCACCCAGCTCTCAGGTAGGTGTCCTTCCTCTCTAAGACCTTTCCAGCCTTCTTAAATGGTTTTGCCCAGGCTGCTCCTGGAGCAGACCTGGCACTCAGCAGGTGCTTAATGTGTGCTTTCTGAAAGGATTGGATTATCCCTGCAGACTTCCCTATGTGTGTCCTCGGGCTGAGCAGTCCTGGGGAACTGACGACTTCTCGCGGTCCAGGAAACTGTGACCACAAGGGAGCCTCTTTTGCGGTTTTAATGGTTCAGCTCCGGCTGTGGTTTCAACATCTCTCAGGGCTATTTGTGTCATCAGTGGGGCGGGCCCCCTTTATTCTTCTAAATTCAATAATGAGTATTTATTGAGTCACTGAAGTGCCACTTGCTCTTGTAGAAATGATCAGGACATGGTCTTTGTTCTCCAGGAGCTGACAACTGAGAGGGGAAATAGGCAGGTATGGCATATGGATAAATCTAGAACAAGGCAGACTATGCTACATGCTGTCTCTGAGACAATGGAAGTCAGGAAGAAAACTTTACCATAATTCCAAGTGCCTTCTGCTATAATGGAGAAGATGTGTGTGCGTGGTAGACACTAGGTTGCTGCTCTCTTGAACCTATAGGATGGCCAGATGTCTTTACTTCCCCCTAGCAATGCCACCCTAAGATCATCATCCTTTCTCTCTTGTAGGTTGGCTATTGCTGCAATAATGCTGCATAACAAACAATTCCCAAATCACCATGATTTGCAAGAACAAACACTTGTCACCTCACTCCCAAGTTTGCATTAGGATAGAATAGCCCTGCTTTAGATGGTGGGTGAGCTGGACTTGGCGGCACACTCCTTATGTCCCAGTCTAAAGGAGCAGCAGCTACCTGGGGCGTGCTTTTCTCATGGTATCTCACAGGAGCACAAGAGGCCAAACCCAATCTGGAAAGCACAGTGAAGCCTCTGCTCACATCGTGCCCACAAATACGCCATCAGCCTAAGAAAACCATGTGGCCAATCCTAACATTGAGGGGTCAAGGAAACAGGCTGTGTTTATCCTAGTGGGAGGTACTCCAAAGACTCAATGAAAAGGATGTGAAGAATTGGGGAGAGTGAAGAATTGGGAGCAATAATCACATCTACCATGCCTTCCTCTCTCCCTACATAACAGCCAGGGCCCCCACTGCTCTGACCACCGGCACACCTAGCGGTAGAATTAGTAGGTCCTTATCATGGTTAATTTTATATGTCAACTTGACTGGGCCAGAGGGTGCCCATATATTTGGTTAAGCATTATTCTGAGTGTTTCTGGATGAGATTAACATTTAAATAGGCAAAGCAAGGTGCCCTCCCTAATGTGGGTGCCCTCATCTAATCAGCTGAAGGTCTGAGTAGAGGAAAAAAGGCTGACCCTCCCCTGAGTAAGAGAACATTCCTGGCCTTCGAATTAGGGCTTCATTTTTTTCCTGCCTTCCACCTTGAACTGAAATGTTGGTTCCTCCTGGGGCTTGAGCCTGCCAGCCTTCGGGCTACGCCGTCAGCTCTCCTGGGTCTGCAGCTCGCTGCCTCTCCCTGTGGGTCTCGGGACTTGTCAGCCTCCATAATCATGTGAGACAGTTTCCTATGATAATTCTCTTAATAAATATGCACACACACGCATGCACACACATATATGTCCTACTAGTTCTGCTTCTCTGGAGGACACCGCCTAATAGAGTCTTGAAGCCTCCGTAGAGTTTAGTTTTGAAGAAGAGGCGGGAGTCCCCTCGTGTCACATTTTCTGCTACTACAGAGAGAACTTCAGAGACCATGCCAGGAATCTTTTCTGAGACACCTCATGGTCTAGGGGTCTGAAAGCAAAGTCATATGGAGCCACAGAATATCAGAGCCTACAGTAAGACTTTAAAAATGGATTGCTCCACGGATTAGAGAACGTGGAGACAGCCTTAGAGGTCCCTAGTGTAGGGATGGCACAGGTGAGCCAATGAGGGTGGGTGTAAGTCAGCAGGGCAGGTGGGAACTGGGGAGCTGTCCTGCTCCCTCGAAGCCATTCAAATTCAAAGACTTTTCAAGCACTCCCTGGACCGAGGAAAGAACTGTGGGTCACATTTGGCCACACATTTCACCCTCATTTCTAATCTAGTGGTTCTCACCTGTAGGATCTTTTTCAGAGTACACATGTCTCCACCATCCCATATTTTGGCCCTTGTGCAGGTTGCCAGAGCCCCACAGGGGACTCTAACTGCCCCACCTCTGCCCAGGTGAGGATCATTCATCTGTCTGGATCCTTCATTCCACAAATGAAGGAACAAGACTCGGGCAGCCCAGTGATTTGCCCAACCTCACACAGCCAGCCCCGCAGAGCACAGCCAGGCCCCACAGAATCAGCGCCCTGGTCTCCTGATCTCCAGCCCCGTGTTCACCTAGTGCTGTGATGTATGCCGACTTCAACAGTGACCCGAGTGACCCCAGCCGCTTGGCTGCCAAGGACTAAAGGATGGATAATCAATGCTCCCCGGGAATCTTGTAGGGGAGGCGGCCACATCACACAGATAAATTGCAACGCGGTGTTGGATGTGCTGTCACAGATGTAGGGGAAGGCCCTGAAAGGAGCAGAGAGAGGGGACCTATGAACTTCCCAATCATATATTCCTTGACCCCAGTAAGAGTGTCAAACTGTGCAGAGCAGTGGGGACAGGGTGGGTGGCGTACATGCATTTATGCCATGCCCACTTGCTGTAATCGGCAGAGGTGCTGAAAAGCTGCCCTTCATAATGTATGGGGTTGGTTCATGCGCTTTCTTTCCTGTGGACAGATTCCAGGGAGGTGAGCGAAAGCCAGTAGTGAGGGGCAGAAAGATACATTGAAGTTCTGGGATGAAAGTACAATTTTGCAAAGGGCATCGACATTCATTCCCATAGCTATTTATGAGGACCTACTATGCATCCGGCGCTACATGATACTGTCCTAGGTTGTAGGGATAAGCACTGAATAAGGTGGCCCAAGTCTTTATTCTTGTGGCAATTACATTGTAGCAGGCAAGACAGAAAAAAACTTAAGAAGTAAACAAGATAGTTTCAACTAGCAATCACTTTATCTATGAGGAAATAAAACAGGGTGAGATGATAGAGGGACAGGGCTCGTGGGTAGGAATTGGGCAAGGCACCCTCCCTCTAAGCCCGCTTTTAGCAGCCACACTTGAGCCTGACCGCGCCAAACCCGGCCAGTCGATTCATCTGTGCAGCCGTGTGAGTAGCAGGGCTGCTATTCCTGGACCATATGTCTGTACAGAGGGATTGGGGTTGAAAGGTCAGCTGGGATCTTTGGTCCTGGCCAACTGGGCTGTGTGCAGAGGCCGAGGCCAAGTTTGGCTTTTGGGAGCTATATTAAGCTTGCCAAGTGCTGGTGGAGTTCTGCAGCCTCAGCCTCTGAACAGCGTTCTGGGCCTGGGCTCTGGAACCACATGGTGGCAAAACTTTGCCCAATTAACAAGATGACACCGGACAAAAGGGCTCGGTGAGTTGGACCCCGAATAATCTGGGCAGATTATTCCTATGCATCCTGCCTTCCTTGCCCAGGACTTGGTGTGAGGGGACCTGGACGGAAGCATGCTCCTTCTGTGACCTGGGCCTTGGGTAAGCACGACTTGGAGCATGGAGTGTGGGGGACGGGAGCAGCAGGCAGGGTCTCTCCTCCACGCTATGTCGTTCGGTTGTTTGAGCTTCTCTTTTTGCACTAGTTGAATTTTTGATCTTGAGGAGTAAAGAGAACTGAGCTGGTACTAGGGAGGCAGGGACTGTGTCACCTTTTGCAAACCACTTTAACCTGTTTTTGTTTCAGTTTCTTTTTCTCTATTGTGGGGTTACAAATACTTGCCCTGATTACAGGGATTTTTATGAATGTCACATGAATTTTTGTGAAATCGTTTTTATGAATGCGGGTGTGTCTATGTGTGTGTGTGTGTGTGTGTGTGTGTGTGAGATGCTGTGTGTTTGTCAGTGTGATGTCTGCTGGCTGGACTCTGCAACACTCTCTAATGTCTTTGGAATCTCCCACCTCTTTCTCCCACCATGAACCTGTTGCCTGGCCTGAGTTCTATCCCTGCTGATTTCTGCTTAGGTATTTATTGATAACTGAATTATTACCCTCTCAAATCTGTTTGCATTTTTATGGAGAATACTTAATTAATAAAAATTGCAAATGTTAGAGGTAGAATAGACCTTAAAGTTTATCTAGTCTGATGGTTAAAAAAATATTAAGCCATAAATTCTTTTCTTCAAATGAAAACATATTTGGAAGCCCAATATACATGTCAAATAAAAACAGGTCTGGTTCGTGCAGCCTCAACTTCTCTGACTCCTGCCACACACACACTTGAGGTTTGAAAACCACTGATCTAGTCTGGAGATGAGGAAACAGGGTCTCTGCTAGGTGAGGTGACCTGGTTAAGGTAGCACAGTGAGGAAGTGGCAGGTGTAGACCAGTACCCAGGTCAGAGGTCCAGGCTCATAATTTCTCATGACGAAGAACATAACTAGATTACAGGAGTGCTACCATAAAGGGTCTGCACCCTGGAACAGGAGCACCTGTCTGCAGCTGGCCTTTGGTGAATGATTTGGGCTGAAGACGGCTTAAAAATGCAGGACCTGATATTCTGTGATGGCTCCAGAAGTATCCAGAAAACATTCGGTCCCCAGCTGGGTCTGCAAAGGGAAGATAAGCCAGCAGGCGAGTGTGTTTCTATCCTGTTCTCAGGGAGCAGCCGGCTTGCGTGCAGCAGCAGATAGGAGCTGCCTGATGAATCTCGCCTCTAAGTGCTTGTTTCAGTAGGGCTGCTTCTAATGGAACAAGACAGCTGGGCTTGGGGGACTTGGGGACCAGACAGCTAATGGGTTTATGCTCTGATGGCTGCCTTTGATCTCATCTGCCGTTGCTCTGAGCCCAAACCCCAAGCCAGCCAGAGAGATGGACAGAGAAGAGAACATCAACCAACCTGTCCCAACCACTCCCTCCCACTGCCATCCGACTCATGAAGACAAGGTGTGCTGGAGAGGGGATGCTGGCTCCGACTGGGGACAAAGCGCCCCAAAGCAAGTCCGTTCTTCCTGGGGTTCCTGGCCAAGGAGGTGGGCTGGGAAGCTGCTGGGGCAGGTGAGGACTGAGGCTCTCCTGTCACTCAAGGCAGATGATGTGATGAAGGAGGAATGATGACGTAGGATCCAGGAGTCTGGGGTTCTAGCTCCAACCAGTTAGACCTGGCAAGTTACCTAACCTGGTACGTGGGTAGGTGCAAAAGCCTTGGGTGTCTCCTCCAGACTTTCCTCAGGCTGCTGCCTCATTGACTTCACTGGGGCGGAGTTTCAGGGCAATATTCCTCTGCTCCAAACCTCTAGGGGCTCCGTACTGCCTCCCAAGCTAAATCCATTGTCCTAGGCATTCTAGCTTCCGGGCTTTGCCACAGCCCGCTTCTCAGCCTTCTCCCCGATCCGTCCATGGGCATGTTTGCTCCACACACACTGGGGCTTCCCTCCAGGTCTTTGCTCCCAAAGCCTTCTGCCCATCACTGGCCCATTCAAATCCTACCCATTTTTGAAGGCTGTCAAGCCCCAGCTCAAATGCCACCTCCTTCAGGAAGTCTTCCCTGATCTCAGTAGCATGTGATCTTTCCTTCTTAAACTATCCCAACTGAATTTTAATCTCATAATGGCCAGTACCTTCAGGCGGTACCTGCATCTTCTTCTTTTTTGTATCTCCGTAGTATTTCTGAATGAACAAACATGAATAAGTCACTTCAAGACTCAATGTCCTCATCTGAAAAAATGGGAAGACCTCTTAGGGTTGTTGTGAGGATTAACAGGATTAATTAGCAGTAAGTGGGCTTTCCATAGATGGTAGCAATGGCAGTAACTCTTCGGTGATTGCTGTGGCAACAGGCTGGTGGGAATGGAATTGGTCCTGCTGGAGCTCCAGGTGGTGGTGGTCTCCTCCTTATCCCATGACCTTTCTTGTCCATCTAGAGATTTGGGGGCAGAGCCATGTCAGCTAGAAGGTTCTCTCTGTGGGGTCATCTGACCTAAAATTCTTCCGTTTCATGGAGCGGATCTGAGTGCTGATCTCTGTTTCCTTGAGGCGCTCGGGAAAGTTGTTGCCTAGAATTCACTGACAGAATTCACACTGCCCCGGGCCGTGGTTCCTACCCCTGGCTGCACATCAGCATCTCGTAAACTTAAAGCAATGACAGAGCCAAGGCGCTACCTCAGACCCGCTGAAGCCGAGTCTCTGGGCATGGGGCCCAGGCACCTCTGTTTTACGCAGCTCCCAGGGTTCAGAACCACGTTACTACACCAAAACAAAACAAAATACTGGATACAAGTCCCAGATGTCTTGTCTTAGTCTTGTTTAAAAAAGGCTACGGGGAAGAGAATTCGCCTATCACATACGCACCTTCATCCATTATGCAGATTAATTTTTTAAAATTCCTGGTAACTCTGATTTTAAGGTAAGGCACTGAAGGC